AAAAAAAAAAAAAAGAGTACCTGTGTCATTCATTGGTTTAAACTCATGCAGCTGAGCCACTTAGGAAGGGATAGTATACATAGAAAGCACTTAATAAATAGCCTCTATTATGATGATTATAATTATCATTTCTTTGGTGATTCATAGGAAGAGCCCATATAGGAAAGGCTGTGGAGTGTAAACAGATAAATAAAAGAATCATCAAGCACATAGGTCTAATTAGCTAAAATTAATTGAAGGTTTACTTTGGTCAGCATTTAGACCTCACAGCAACCCATAATAAGAAGACTTCCTATTTTTTGCTTTTAATCTTTCTAACAGATGAGGATATTAAAGCGCGTAAAAATTAAGTGAGTTGCCAAAGGGTGGTAAGTAGTAGAAGGCGGATGCAAAATTTGAATCCAGGTGTATGTAGTTGCTTTCAGCTACTGCAGTAGTTCTCAACCTTCCTAATACCATGACCCTTTAATACAGTTCCTTATGTTGTGGTGACCCCTAACCATAATATTATTTTCGTTGGTACTTCATAAATGTAATTTTGCTTCTGTTATGAATTGTAATGTAAATATCTGATATGCAGGAGACCCCCAAAAGGGTCATGAACCACAGGTTGAGAACCGCTGAGCTACTGTCTTCTGTCTTGGAGATTCCTGAGACCTGATGCCACTGAACACCACTGGTTTTGTGGTAGGCTTACAGTAACTGATTAAAGGTCATGGCTCGGCACCTGTGGCTCAACCGGCTAAGGCGCCAGCCACATACACCTGAGTTGGCGGGTTCGAATCCAGCCCGGACCCTCCAAACAACAATGACGGCTACAACCAAAAAATAGCTGGGCATTGTGGTGGATGCCTCTAGTCCCAGCTACTTGGGAGGCTGAAGCAGGAGAATCGCTTCAGCCCAGGAGTCGGAGGTTGCTGTGAGCTGTGATGCCAGGGCACTCTACCTAGGGCAACAGCTTGAGGCTCTGTCTCAGAAAAATAAATAAATAAATAAAGGTCATACAGATAATCTGTGTTGAACCAGGGCCTGCCTGAACCCAGAAGAGCTCTTCCTTTCCTGTGCTGCCTCCTGTACTGGAAATGCAGATGAGCCTATTGTAGAAACTAAAGGCTGTAGGCTGATCCAAGAAGATAAAATAAGGGGAAATGACAGCCTTAGGAAAAATACTAAGTTTTCAGTCAGGAATGGTGAAAAAGTAAAATCCAATGAGTTTAAACTTGAGAGAAGAGAAATGTAGTGGGATACAATTTTTTTGTTGTTTTTTGAGACTGAGGCTCACTCTGTCACCCTGGGTAGAGTGCCATGTTGTCATAACTCACAACAACCTCAAATTGGGGCTTGAGCAGTGTTTTTGCCTTAGTCTCCCGAGTAGCTGGGATTACAGGCATATACCACCATGCCCAGCTAGTTTTTCTACTTTTAGTAGAGACAGAGTCTTGCTTTTGCTGAGGCTGGTCTCAAACTCCTGACCTCAAACAATCCACCTGTCTTGGCCTCATAGAGTGCTAGGGTTATAGGCATGAGCCACTGCACCCAGCCTAGTGGGATCAAATTTTACTTTTGATGTTTAAAGCCAGCCAGCACTAGAGTGTACCTGGCCTAGGATCATTCTTTTTTTTTTTTTTTTTTTTTT